CCACCCGCAACTTGAACCTCATCCTGTATTACATAAATATATATATATCGTGTATATATGTGATATATACATTTGATATATGTTTATGTAGGATATATACTTATATTTCATATATTTTTATTTATTATTATATATTTTATACATCATAAAATATATAAAATAAAATGATTGTAAAATAATGTAATTCTAAAAATAATAAATATATAATTTTATATATAAATAATTTTATGTTGTATAAAATATATTAAAATATATATTAGAAAAAAGGATTACATTTCCATTTTTGATCCAAATTGACGATTCCTTTAAAAGTATTTCACAAATTTTCTCTATTTTTTTAACCACAGCTGGATATTACACTGATTGTTACAAGCATTTTCCTATAAACAAAGGTGTCGTTTACCGATTTGTTCAAAATGGCAGTGTAATTTCCCAAGCTGTAGCATTTATTTCATCCGCAGCATTCATTCCCATGTATCATTCAGTTTTTGCAGAGCGGCCAGACCTTTGCTACTTACAGTACAGAGAAGTCACAAACCCCAGAAAAAAATAAATAAAAAAAAAACCAGAACAAATAAAAAACAGGCATTGCACTGTTAGAGCATATTTTTGGATAATTTTGTTGCTTCTCACTCCAACTTAATTTGAAAGTCTTTGTTCACTGGCACTTTTGCTTTTAAAATAAATTGCCTGCTCTCTAGGGAACACGCTCTACGGTTTGTTGAATTTAACATTCACATCATTGTAAATCTATTGTGGAAAGGGTTGTTTAGAATTAATCTAACTGAGCCAACGTTGGAGGCAAAGGTTCACGGCTGTTCACACAAGCTGTTTCAGTCAGGTGGCCACGTTAACATGCAATCACAAAGCGTTAATTTTGCAGTTAAACACAGATTGCAAGAACGAATTTGCACAGTCCACTGAGTTTACGAATGCAAGGGGAGGAAAACAACCTGCTGTTTCAAGTGCCTTTCTATTACTTGTACTTTTTTTTTGGCGAATGCCACAAATTGCAGGTCAGATTTTGCAAGGAAGTTACCTACGCTGCCATTGCAGTAATGTGACTGGGCAAACTGGACTTTATCCTCCCTGCTTATACGTGTTTTTAACTAACAGCAGCGGTAAAGAGACATGGCTCTGTAGGCTTAAACCCTGCCTGCCTCTTGTTATTATTTCACTCATCCAAAAAGTCTCACATTAGATTCAGGAAAGTAAGTTCTACAAGCAAAATGTTAATGACACTGCGTTGCATAAATTCTTTTTTTTTTTTTTTTTTTTCTTTTTTTCTTTTTACAGAATTTTCCCAGACGGAACTTCAGCAATCTTAGCTGCAAAACTTCTGCCCCCAAAATAATCAGTGAAAAAGAAATGTGAATGTGTGTCCCAAGGACATCTCCAAGACATCAAATACCTACATGAAGTTACCTTTGAGGAGGCAGTTGGTTTGGTTTGGGGCAGAGATGGAGAATTTCCATACTGTATTCATTTCCAGGGAGACGAGGATTCAATCCTACTTTTCTGAAGTACAGGAGCCATCCACAAACCCATATGGGTCAGTACTGTTTTCTTCCTAGTGACTTCAAAATTTTCTTGCTGACCTTCTTGGAGCCATATTTTTAAGTAAACTTCTATATCCAGAGAAAATTTTCATGGCAGGATAATAAAAATATCCTCGCAGTTTAACACTTGTTTTGGGAACACTTGGTGAGAAGTCAGTTACCTTAGTAACAGCTAAAGGCACACAATGGGAAAATGCTCAAGTTAATAATCAGTATTTAAAAATAAAAGGCACGTGGAAAGCAGGCAGCTTTCTCAAAGCCATGCTTTGTGTTAAATTTGCTCCTTAAATAAAGAAACGCTAATCCGAGGCGAGCAAAGCATGCTTGAGCATAGCAATTTAACAAAGTTAATGCTTAAAAACAAATTCAAAAAATGATAACAAAGAAAATTATATATATAAAAGATGTTTAATACAGCGCCCTCTTCCAGGCGAAGTTTAATGGAAAAAGCTACATTATTACAGATCAAGACATTATATCCCCAGTTCTTTCTATACATACTGACCATTTTTAAGGTAGTGTCTTTATTACACATATAAATTATGATCCTGAAAACTGCAGTGAAAGACCACTATTTGCTAGAAGAGCATGAACCACATTTCGTAACCGATCAGCAATAAAATCGTTGTGGAAGAGGATTCTGTGGCAATTTGTCATTTAATCTGACTGATAAGCAGTGGTTTAATCAGTCTGTTGGGAATAGTACACTGAATAATTTACGACAGAGAGAGGTAGAGACCTGAAGAGCCTGAGAGGAAACTGTCGGCCTAAGATGACTTCTGAGAAATAGCATTGTGTTATGACCCTGTTGCACTAAAAACTTCAATTTAAAAGTTATTTCTGTTTTGTACTGTGCCAAAGTACAAGCAGTACATACTACTACTATTATATGGGGGGAAAGAAAGGGATGTGATTTAATTGGAAAATTAAATTCAGAGCATTTCAAAAACATTCATCTGCAAAAGGTGAAAAGAGGTAGGTACAATAAATAAAAATATAATAGCTGAGCAAGTGAAAGAAGAGTATGTGTTTGCGTAGAGCACTGGTGGTGTCATCCCGACTGCATGCGAAGGGGAGATGAAGGCACTACTGAAATACGTGGTAGATGCAGATGCTCACGGACTGTAGGTTGGAGGTAGTGCTGGTACTGCGCAAGCAGTAAATTTTCTTCTATAATTAGTTGGGTAATCATTAGAGGAAAAGATAACTGCTGACTAGGGAATGGCTTTAACTCTGTCCTTCACTGGTAATAGCAGTACTAAATCCTAGTCCTCCCTTTGCAATACGGCATTTATCATGAAGCATAGAGCAACACAATTCTTAACATCACTCATTTTTTTTCCTTTAAAAATGTGCTTTTGGGTAGTAATACACATTTATAGTACATACAGAACTATTTCAGTTTGTATATAGACAGATTATATACATGATGTTTAAATCAACACAAGCACTATCCAAAGGGGCAACCACAACATGGTGTGTTTTTTTTTTTTTTTTTTTTTAAATGTTGTGCATCTTTAAGTGCCTTTATAAGTTTTAACCCTCTGAACTGACAGGATAGCAAATTATTAGTTTGCTGCATGGATATAATTTACACAAAGAAAAAGCAGCCTGAACGATGCTGAGGAGTTTTCCGAGAGCTCTGAATCATCGTAAAAGTGCTCATATAACCAGGACCAGAACTACAGAAACCAGTATGAAAAGATCTGTGTAGACAAGGCTATTACAGAATGGAGAGACCAAAATGCTCTTTTTTTTCCCCTCTATTTCAGGAAGCTAGTGTTTTTCTGCAGTAGTGACTGCAGTGATTAAATATGCTAAGTACTGAGAAAAATCAATTCCTACTTTTGGGAGTAGCTGGCTCCTTCTAATGCCCAGCTAGAGGTCAGAAGGTTTGTTTAATATAGTGGATGTTAAAGAAAAGAAAAAAAAAAAGAGGCTTAGTAGTCAGAATTTGAACTTTTTTTTTTTTTTTTTTAAGTTTGAGGTGGTTGCAGATAAAAGAATCATTTGCTTTTCTATTATTATTATTTTTTCAAAAGGCTTATGTTACCAGCACAGCAGCTGATGACATTTACTGTAAAATCATTTAATTGCTTAGCCATTCCCTTCTGCTTTCAAACATTTTTTTTTCCTCCTTCTTAAAGTATTCTTCATTTATCTAAGGTACTGGCACTGCTGGTAAACTTTCCAATTGCTGTTGATTTAAACAGAATCATTTTTTCCCAGCCCTTATGCTATGGTTAGGATGAATCCCTGAACAAAGAAGGATTGGTGACAGATTTATTAAACTGGTTTGCACTTTCCTGATTTACTTATGCGTAAGCTTCTGGTATTGGCTAGGTAAAAGAATGGAAATAGCTTATTTTCTTGGGCTCAACCACCTTCAATCACTGCATGAGAGTATTTGACCTCTAAAAGCACAGGGAGAGTCAGCAAGAGTGGGTCAGGATGGCACTTGGCTGCACAAGAAGCAGGAGGCCTCGGACAGTCCCTTTTCTTTTTCTAATATGAATTTTGTAACGGAAGAAAAGTCCAAACTGGAGGTTTATTTGGCTTCCCTGTAGCGTGCAAATAAGACGTGCTGTATGAAGCAAGGAAATCAACAACATTTCTGAAACAAAGAATTCATGACAAATTTCACATCTGAGGAAAACAGCCACTGTCTGAGCCTGTTACCTTAACCTGAAGGGTAAACACACATTTGTACCTTCTGTGATTTAATTTCTGAGCTATTGTGATACAGTTGCTAGCAAAAACAATAGGCAGAATTGCATATCCCCATTATTAATATATACAGACCACCTAGAGATTAGACAAATTGTATGTCCTTGAAGGCAACACAAATATCTAGGATTTTGTTTTAGATTTTTAGCTGTCATTTCTTCATAGTCACCTATGAAGATCAAAGTAACCTTTCTCTCAATAATCACTCATTTTTGTTAGAGGCTTTTGGAAATTATTATGGGCTTTGAACTATGGCAGCATAACAACAACAACAAAGTATTTCAAGTATTCTTATTCTGATCTACAAATTACCAAAAAAATCACATATAGATCTTTTTTTTTTCACTGTGCAGTCCAATTATTTCTGTATATTGGCTCTTCCATAAACTTATTTGGTCCACATTTAAAGAGCTCCTTAATTCCTTTTTTGATTTCGCTTTTTTCTTTTTTTTTTTTGCTGGATGTCTCCGGGTAGAAGAAATGGATTTAATTCTATTTTCTTCAGACTTTATTGAGAAATTCCAAGTTGAGAGAAGCAGGGAGATGAATAGAGTCCATGGTTATGGAGGATGGGTTGAATGGGAACAAAACTGGGAACATATACTTGAAGTCTAGCAGCAGTTGCGGAGGATCATTTCGCTCTTGCAAGTTCGCCTATGAGGTGGGGGAGAAGAAAACAAAAATTTAGCATCAACTGTTGTGTTTTCTTTGCATTTGTAAGGTCTAACACACTCAAAGGTTTGAGTGAGTAGGTATATATAAAGATATTAGAGAAATGGGTTAATGATGCTTTCATCCAAAGGGGCAGCTTGTTTTTCAGTGCAGAGTGGATAACATAGGTAGAAACAGTCCCTGCCTAATAGCTGTCAATACCAGATGTAAGTACCTTCCATATGCACAGGTCAAGCTATACAGATCCCACTCTTCTACAAATTCTGGGATTGACAAAGCTGAGACCATTTACAAAGGGATTTTCTGAACTACACACTACAGTAGGTTTAAAGGTATTTCAGAAACAGGGAGAATTATTTTGCTGTCTTTTATAATAGCCTTCCTCCAATCAAATACATCCAGAAACTCCTGCAGAGGCTATTGGAAGCTTGGCTTCAGCAGAATCTAGTTAGATATTTTACACTTTCTTTCTTTAGTTGCCAATTTCTGCCTTGTATCTCAGAAGTAACTCTGTTTCAGCAATGCTTCACCGACTCCTGCAACCTTACTTCTGAACTGCACAGAGGAGGCACAAAATGCACTTGTTTTTTTTTCTCTGAAAGTCAAATTTGTGTACTAAAGTCCAAGTGAGCAAGGCTCACTTGGGTGCAATCACACAGGTGCATCTTTCTGCCAGGAAAACCCTCCGTGGGCCTTTTTTTCTGTTACCATATGTGCCAGGACACTGGCTGAGCTGAACTGAGGTGCTGATCTCAGCCTTTGGCCCTTTGCTATCAACAGCCAAGAAGCCTCTGCAGCCCCATTTTGCAAGCAGGTGTTCCCAGAGCACTGCAGACTGCATTACACCCAGGAGAACACGCAGCTGCAAACCTGTTACGAAGTGCCTAAGCCACCACTGATGACAGGACAGAATATTACTGTTAAATCAATACCATTTCCTCCAGTTAACAGCCCTTCACATTTACCTGTATGTTTCGTATGAAAGCTACTGTAACACGTTCTTCAAACTCGTTCACAGGAGTGTAGAGATTAAGTATTTTTACAATCTGTTGAAAACAAAGAAGGACTACAGTCATGAGAGGTCCAACTTTTCCAGAATACAAAACACCACTAAAATTTTAATATTTAAAATATTTAAAATGTGACTTGATATGTCACAACAAATCTCACATGAGACTACCTAGAATGAGAAGCAGAGGATCAAAACAGGACCATTCTCAGTGCCGTGGATCAGCTTGAGATCTGCACATAATTGATGAAATACAATAGCCAAGCAAAATCTGCTTGCAGAAAGTGAGATATGTTGCATGTTTATACACATTGCTTACAATATGCATGTTTGCCCAAGGTGAACCTGTCCTAGGAAACAGCCCAAATGTCATCTTGTGCTCCTTTGGCTGCTGTAAATGTTAAGCCTTTACATTCCCATCAAAATTCCTTCTTATGACAATACTTATAAGCCAGGAATAAACTTGAACAACAGATTTATCTAGGTATATCCCTTGGGTTGGCCCATGGGGACTCCGGGAGGTTCAGAATTGCTGACTGCTGGCCCAGTACAACTGACATCACCTCCACAACCCTTCTCCTGATCCTAACTCATGCCCACTGCAAGTCCTCAACCTCCCCTACCACCACTCACCTTCTGCCATGGTCAGATTCAGAGTATGGGGAAGGACATATAGGAGAAAGGACCCATGAGAATCACTGAAGATCAACTCATATCTCCCTTATTTCAACATTATCAAATAAATGGCACACTATCCAACACCAAAGAACTGGGGATTCTTACTGTTGGACTGAAGTCTAAAAGCTCAAGTCAAAACCACTCAGTGCAATTAACTAGTGCATTAAGGACTGCAGTTCCCAATGTCCTGGCCCAAACATGAATTCTTGCTGGGGATCCCACAGGACAAGACAGATAAGAACCTAGCAGAAGAGAACTGGTGGACTGCAAGCTGTAATAGGCATTTGCTGCTAAGGCAAATGCTGGAAGGGAACCCAAAGGCCAACAGTGAATCAGCTCTGAAACCCTGATCCCCAAGCAGGTGAAATATTCCAATCTGCCAGAAGAGTTACCACTAAAACATGTCATATGTGCTAAAGCAAAATGACCCCTCTGGCCCCTACCTGCTGGGTGGTGAGCGAGGTACACAAGGAGCAGATGGCCTCGGCATCCTCCAAGGTCTTCTTCTTCAGCTGCAGGAGCTGTGCTGCCTGAATCAAGGGCTCCAACGTCTGTGCCGCTCCGCTTTGATGCAAGTTCTTCCCACGCAGCCACTCCTCCAGCTGGCTTATGTTAAACCTGGATAAATAGCCTGGGTCAGACTCGTACCAAGGACCAAGAGGGAACTCGTAGCCTCGAGCCCCCAGCCCACCTTAGCTGCATGCCAGTGCTCCACGAGCAGACGTCCTTCCGCAGCAGCAGGTTGTTGAGGGTGACTGCGTTGACCATGTAGAAGAGCTGCTTGAAGACCTGCTGGATGATCTCTGGGTCCAGGCCCTGATCACACATGATGCTGTAGAAGCTGTTCATCTGGTGGATGACTGTGTCCAAGCTGTACGAGCTGTCGCTGTCCTCCATGCTGGAGGAGCGATTCCTGTAGCCCATTGGTTTCACGCCAGAAAGCCCCTGGATGCTCTCATTTTCCAGCATTGCAGACACTGGGACAAGAGGAAAAAAAAAAATAAGAGAAAAATCTGCTAATCACAAGAGGCGAGAAATTGTTCCTTCTGCGGTGAATTTTATGGCCTGTCATAAACACAGAGCAGTCTCAAAGTGGTACAACACGCTGGATTCTGGACAGTCCCATCAGGGAACAAATCCACAAATTGGTTTCTTTCTGCAACACACCTTTCTTGCCCTTCCTTTGGGGAGAATCATTGCTAGCACTGCAGGAAGGTCAGAGAAACACTCAGAGCATCCAGTTAAAGCTGAAAACCCTCCTAAAGGCTAATGCACAGTCCACTGACCTATCATGGGCTGCAATATTCCCTCGGCTATCTTGATGAGCTGCTGATAGATCTGGATGGAGAGATCGCTCAGCACCTGGCGGTACTCGGTCAGGTCGAAGTTCTTGAGACAGTGCTCATTCTGCTTAGCAGTGTTTTGGGTCATAAATCCCTAAACAGAAGAAGATTAAAACAGGTTATTCATCAGCTGGTAAAATCACTGTATTAAAAAAAAAAGTTCAGAATATAATTGATCCAGATATGTTAACAATGTATGTTTTTAGATTCTATTATAGATGTGAATTTTTTGGTAATTATTGTGAGGACTGGTTTTTGAAGCAGTAAGTAGTCATGAAGCAGCAAGCTTGTCATCTGAACTTTAGTAAGGAGAAATACACCTGCATTAACTGCAATACATATCTGAAAGAGCAATCTTGACTTATCAGAGTCCTGAGAAACTCTTTTTTATCCATTTTTTTTTCTATCTCTGAGCTTCAAAATTTTTTGGCAGCAACCCCAAATATTTCAGTTGGAGATTAAGCTTCAGAAAAGGAAAGCTTAATATCCTTCCATGAAAAAAGGGAAAACAATTTAGCCTAACCATGTGCTTCTTGACAACTTTTTAAACTGATTGAATTACAGCCTATAAATCTGTTCCAGTGGCTGATTCTTTTCCCTAGTCTTTAGCTGAAAAAGCAGGGGATTCCCTAGTGTTGCAAACAGCTCCTGCATTAAGGACTGGAGCTATTTTTGCTCACAGAGGCACAGGTGACCTCACTTAAATCTGTAATTAGTGCAAGTGCTTTAATCACCCCACTCACATAGTAATGATTCCCCGTTTAGTGTCAAAATGACAGCTGTGCTACTATTTTTTTTATTTTGCTGACTAGCAAAATGCAAAAATATGACATTTTGAGCTGCCCTCCAAATTTCACACTTTTCTACCGAAATAAAAAAAGAAAAAAAAATTATGCTCTTGGAGCTGCAAAAAGTCAAATTTGCTTGGGGATTCCTTTTAAATTTACTTTCTTAAAAATCACCTGGGTTTCCAACTGAAGGAAACTTTATTCTGGAAACCACTCAGATGGGAACGATTCCTCCCCACTCTGTTTTTGGACACAATCATCAACTCAACTTGAAAATAGCTGACTCAGCTGACACTGCACAACCAGAACAAACAACATGAAATTTAAGCGCCTTTTTTTTTTTTTTTTCCCCCCACCAATAGTAGGATTCCATGAGAAGAGATTACTCACCTCAAGCTGTTCGTCTTCCAGGAGTTTTATAACCAGCCATCTAATGTCATTGACTGCTTCTTCATTGTTGAGAAAAATAAAGAGATTGTAGAATACCATGGCCTGGAGGTAGGAAGTGTTTTTATCTGAGCAGCTAAATTGATTCCAAGACAACTTTGCTCAGTTCTTCTTTATTCTTGAAGCTTGTTAGCTCAATATATCTAACAACACAAATCAAGAGTAAATGAGAAGCTGCGCAATTTGGTTTTATTACAACTTTAATGCCAATGCCAATGATTATGCAGAAATAAAACTGCAAGAGTTTGGAACGCTTTTTCTCCAAGTAATGAAAGGACAGAAATAAAGGAAACAATCTTCAAAAGCAGCCTACCAGGACAGATTTCCCAGCTTAGACGAATCACATGGTAAGATTGGCTACAAAATTCAAAACACTGCTAGTACTGCTCAGAAAAAAATGTGAGTTATGCTATGAGGGTCCTGGTTTGTGCTCTTAAATGTCCTGACACTGTGCTATGTCTCATGAGGCTCTGCTGGAGCTACCTCCTGCATTATCCAAATAAAAGAAAGAATCAGCCAGCAGCCAGAGATGAGCCCTGGGAGAATGATGCTATATCCACAGCAAAATTCCTGGAAAAATGTAAATTTCCTGAAGTTTCTCACCGCATCCCCGCTGTATTGCTTTAAGCAGTGCAGGAGGCGACACGTGTTAGCCAGCCAAAACGATGTCATCTGGAAGTCCTCGTTGTGCTTCTGCAGGAGCAAAGAGAACCGCGTGAGACCCCTCCTCGGTGGCACATGAAGGCATCACTTTCCTGCATTACTGAGGACATTCCCTTCTTGTTCTCTGCAAACAGCTTTTTAATCTAACTGCTTGTAAGTGCAATTAGCAGTTCCTTCCTTGCATAACCTGCACTTTTGCTTTTGGAAAAAAGTACAGCAGCAAAAGCAGTGTGAGGGACACTTCTTGCTCTAGAAGTGGTGCTTTTCTCAAAGTTGAAATTTGTCATGCATTTGCCCGATGAACATAAAGATGGAGACACCTTCACCTCCTGCATCAAATCTGGCAAATAAACCGGCATTAACAAGATCTAGGGTTTATTCCCAGCTTGGCACTGCCCTGGTGGGCAAATCATCCCCTTGCTCTTCTCAAAAAGTAAGCAAGGGCACAGAGAGGGTTTGGAAATCACCTCGAAAGCTGAACACCAGACACCACGATGTGGTCATACCCATCTCACGGCAAGTCTAAGCCAACCTGCACCCACCTTCAGTACTTTCTTAATGCCGTTGATGGTGGAGGTGAGCAAGGAGTGCACCTTCTGGTCATCGTTGATGTAGTCCGCATGCCTGATGCACATGTAGAGGATGTAGGCAGGGAGGCAAGGGACAGTGGCAGACACCGTCTGAGGCTTCAGATCTAGAAGTTCAGCAAAACACAACCCAAATTTGCTGGATGTCTGCTAGAGATGTCCCTGGGAAAGACCCCAAGGAAGCTGAGGTTTCAGCTTCGTGGTGCAGACGTAGACCCAGAGGTGCAATAGCACCCGCTGGAGCCAGCTAAGGCAGGAGGATGGAGCACTGGGATCCAGGAGGGCAGCACCTTTTGGAGGCACTCGGGGTAGTCAGCAGAACTACATCTTATTTACCTTGCAAATGGCTATCTGAGCCAGCACATCTATCTTGGAAAACTCCCTGAAACTCTCAGGAAAGCTTCATGCAGGTTATAGAAAAAAAACAACTCTAACTTTACCACTCATTTTTTCCTCAGGATATGGAATCTGGACAGTTTCTGCAGGAATTTGAGGCCTCTAAGGCTAGGAAGAGCCCATCTAAAGGAAGAGCAGAAAAAAACCCTATCTCCAGAGTAAGAGCAGCAGTAGAATAGCAGTGTCTGTCTACACAAAGCACCACAGAGTGAGGAATTAAGGAATTATACTACCCCATTCTCCCAAACGTGGGGAGACCAAAGCATTTGGGTTGGGCTGGGGAAAGGAGGCTGCAGCCACAGGCCCCTGTCTGCTCTTCATGGTCACAGTTCTCCCCAAAGAGCAAAAACATTTTGCCAGTTCAGGATATTAGCTCTTTTCTGCTCTGGCTTCAAACCAGCACAATCGTAATTTGCCTATTTTCAGGTTTAAAACCTCTCTTGGTTGAGTTTCCAGTTTACAATCTCGCTCAGCATGAGACACAGCTGCTGAGCAAGCTGCTCACCTATGATGAGGTTTCGCACGAGAAGAGGCTCGTCCTCCTTGTAATATTCCAGCATTCCCTGGAAATCCTTCTCCTTTCTCTGGACTGCAACCTGCCGGTTGAGCTGGTGCTGCCTCCTCTCTGTCTGTACCATCGCTTGGGATGCTGCAAGGAGAAGAGACAAAATGTTAGAGCTGATCTACTGGCGTTAGACCAAGCACCAGGCAAGATTTGTTTTATATAAGTCCAAAAATCTTCTCCGCTTTGGACAGATCTTTTAAAAAAATAGATCTTGAATTCCAAGCCAACCATAGTCCTGGCTCAGAACAAAATAACAAATGCAAAAGTCAGACCTAGGAACAAAAGATGGAGCAATTTTCTACTTTCTAAGGAAACCCAGACTCCAGTTGGAGGGTGTTAAACCTGGGAGAATCTTCTTAGTGCACCACTTTCATGGAGGAAAAAATATATCTGAAAAAAATATCTGCAACACAGATAACATCATGGCACACTATCAAGGATCGTGCTTGCATACAATTTTAATAAGTTGAAAGACTATGAGACTCAAATGCAAGCACTGCAGGAAACATCAGCAGGATGCATACAAATTATAGTGACAAAGACCAGCTGTGCTAGGTGTGGAACTCCTCCATTTATCCAACTTAATTTCATTTAATGTCTGTTTTTCAGAAATTAGCTCATGAGAACTCAGTTCTCTGGTTAATCACTGTTTCAACAGAGAAATAAAAGCTGTTTTTATACAGCACAGATGTCTTGTTTGAGATGTTGAGCATGAGGGTTTTTTTTAACTAAAAAAAAAAAAAAGGCAAAAAACCACTAAGTATCTTTAATCCTCCCAAATTCCCAGAACAGAGGTTCCTGGTAGCCACTGAAGCTCTTCTCTCAATCTCTGCTGGGGTGACAGCACTGACTGTAATAAAGTGCCAAGATGTGAAATACCCCCTGGAGCCCAGCACAGGGGAAGTGTCTCCACCACCCTCACTTCCCCAAAACCTCTTGTAGGCTTCACGGGAAGCATGTTGAAAAGCTAAAGGAGGCTCCAGGCCTCTGGACTGGGTTGTTAATATGTCCCTATCTGATCAAAGACTCCAGCAGAGGTGGGACATATCTCCCTTACTGGCCCACTTTTGGATTCATGTCCAAGGTGAAGGTGGAAGCAGCAGTTACAGGGATGAGGCTGAACCACTTGTGGGCTTCAACTGGACTTCCAGTTCTCCTCTCACTTGAACTAGTATTTCTTACTGGAAGTTTCCATTTCCACTAGCAGCTACTCAATTTGCTTGTCTCTGTTTTATAGATAGAGTCCAAATGCTACAGTCCAACAGTAGGACCCTAAACTGCTAAAATAAAACACCAAAAAGGAGGACATCAACAGATGAGTTGCCTAACATTTGAAGCCCAGATAGAGTCAAGAAAAGAACACATTATTAGACTGAAAAATTACAAGCACAGCGACTCTAGAGCCACGATCAGCAATTGCTAGGAGAGGAAGCAAAAGCTCTGAGTGAAAATCTGCAGTTTTCTTAGGCTGGCCAAAGCAGCAAAAGCAGAATGCTACTCCTCCACTCACGACCTCCATAAAAGCAAAGTCACCTTCAAAATCTTGGACCTTCTTCATGTAAATCTTTAGCTGTTTCTTCAGCTTCTTTTCATTCTTCTCCAAATTTTCTAGTAACTCTTTGAGATCCTAAAAAGCAGAAAATATGATAGGTTTAAAAAAACAAACCCAAGCAAACAAAACAAAACAAAACAACTAACTTCTACAGGGCTATGTAAGAGCCACCTTGTTCTGCATCGGCTCTACAGGATTTCTTGGTGCTATAAATCAAATCCCATTGCTGGGGTGGATAATTAACTGCACAGAAGAGCAATAAAGCGAAGACTATTTAATTCTGCTGAAGGATACACTTCTGGCAAGGCAGGAATGGAGACAAACTGGCCTCTGTGGGTTTTCCTCCCTTGACAGTTTGAAGTTTGCTTTTGCAAGTTTGAAGTTTGAGTTTGCCTCACTTACCATGAGGACCCTGGCTGCTCTACACCTACTTCCTCTTAAAACAGCCTGTAGTAGGCAACTACTCACAACATACCACCAAGGGAACTTTGTTGCTGCCTGTTATTTGTATTTAAACAGTTCCAACACTACTTAGGCTCAACAGGGTTATTGAGCAGCCCTCAGCCCAACTCAGGAGCAATCAGTGTTCACTCTGGACACCACAAACACAGACACAGGAGGTGTGGAGAGGTTAAAAAAACCCCACCATCACTTGGCACTTTCCAGAGGGACACAGGGCCTCAACTCTGCCAATCAAAGCAAGGAAATGCAAAGCCCCCAGGGCCGTGTCCTCCCCTCTACTTCCTATCTCATCTCTGCCAGCCCATTTTCAGTTCCTTGGGCTACAAAGGAAAGTGGGTTTTTTTTGCTTACTAGATTCTCGTTGGTG